AGATAGGGAGGGAGGAAGAGAGGAAGAAAAGAGAGGAAAAGAGGATTCCCCTTGTACTCTGCCACAGGCCTTTGGCTCTGCATAGACTAGATGGTGGCTTAGGTCTTAACATCACATTCCCAAGGCTGCTCCCTGCAATCACTGGGCAGAAGTCAGGGTGTGGGGTGTGGGATGGGCGAGCGAGCCGTGGTCCCTAACAGCTGAACTCCCCTCCCACAGGCTCCCTGCTGCAGCATGTGGCTGCCACGCGTCTCCAGCACGGCGGTGACCGCGCTCCTGCTGGCGCAGACTGGCCTCCTGCTCTTCCTGGTCTCCCGGCCCAGGCTGACCTCCCCCGCGGGGCGCGAGGACCGCGTGCACGTGCTGGTGCTGTCCTCGTGGCGCTCCGGCTCGTCCTTCGTGGGCCAGCTCTTCAGCCAGCACCCGGACGTCTTCTACCTGATGGAGCCCGCGTGGCACGTGTGGTCTGCCCTGTCGCAGGGCAGTGCGCCCGCGCTGCACATGGCCGTGCGTGACCTGGTGCGCTCGGTCTTCCTGTGCGACATGGACGTGTTCGATGCCTACCTGCCCTGGCGTCGCAACCTCTCGGACCTCTTCCAGTGGGCGGTGAGCCGCGCGCTGTGCTCGCCGCCCGCCTGCAGTGCCTTTCAGCGGGGAGCCATCAGCAGCGAGGCCGTGTGCAAGCCACTGTGCGCACGGAGGCCCTTCGGCCTGGCCCGGGAGGCCTGCCGCTCCTACAGCCACGTGGTGCTCAAGGAGGTGCGCTTCTTCAACCTGCAGGTGCTCTACCCGCTGCTCGCCGACCCGGCGCTCAACCTCCATATCGTGCACCTGGTGCGCGACCCGCGGGCGGTGCTGCGCTCGCGCGAGCAGACGGCCAAGGCCCTGGCGCGCGACAACGGCATCGTGCTGGGCACCAACGGCACGTGGGTGGAGGCCGACCCAGGCCTGCGCGTGGTGCGGGAGGTGTGCCGCAGCCACGTGCGCATCGCGGAGGCCGCCACCCGCAAGCCGCCGCCCTTCTTGCGTGGCCGCTACCGCCTGGTGCGCTTCGAGGACCTGGCGCGAGCCCCGCTGCCCGAGATCCGCGCGCTCTACGCCTTCGCCGGCCTGAGCCTCACGCCCCAGCTGGAGGCCTGGATCCACAACATCACGCACGGGTCAGGGCCCGGCGCGCGCCGCGAGGCCTTCAAGACCACGTCCAGGGACGCGCTCAACGTCTCCCAGGCCTGGCGCCACGCGCTCTCCTTCGCCAAGATCCGCCGGGTGCAGGAGCTGTGCGCGGGCGCGCTGCAGCTGCTGGGCTACCGGCCCGTGTTTTCCGAGGACGAACAGCGGGACCTCGCCCTAAACCTGGTGTTGCCGCGCGGCCCCAGCAGCTTCAGCTGGGCGTCGTCCACCGACGCGCACCCGGGGGCTTAGTGGAGAGCCCCGGTTTGTGGCGGTGGCCGGGACCAGGAGGAAACTATGGTGGGGAGAGAGCCGGGGCACACCGGGCACAGGCCGGTACTGGAGGGGCCGGGAGTTTGGGAGTCCTGTTTTGTATTAGGAAAGGACTGCGCCCCCAAACTCATTGTTTCTTTATTGGCACTTTTTTATTTTCCTTAAGTTCTTTTCTTGGAGCTGGGTTCCCATCAGGCACATTCTTCATGGAAAGCAAAGCGAGTGCCCCCCTTCCTCTGGGCACTAGGAATAGCTCAGACGACTTGGCTCGTACTCAAACTCTTTCTTTCCCCTCCTCTCTCACCTCCCTTGGGATGATGCATCTTCCAGCAGCTGAGAAGGGTGTCTCCTCCCTGCCTGGGAGTGGAGGGGCACTGTGGTGAGCTGGCCCCTGAAGTCTGCACGTCTCCCCCCACACACCTCAGGCTCCATGCCCCCTCACCCTCCATGTCGCTGGCACCACACTCCATCAAAGCCGTTCACATTTATATCCACCTGTATGTTCAGCAAGAAATCATACTAGATGCCTCTTACCTTGTCTCCCCTTAGCCTCTCTGTGTCCCATCTCCCAGGAGCCCACAGAGCCCCCTCACCTGCCCAGGTAAGGGGAACCTTGGATTTGTCCTGACAGGAAAGATTCTACTACAGAAATAAACATAATTAACTTGTGTGATAGAGATTCGAGTTTACAGCCTGCAGAGTTTAACAAGCAAAATGCAAAAGTGAAGGGACTTGTCCAAGGTCACATGGTAAGAAGGAAGGTGAAAGGAGGAGGAAGGTTTTACTCTGGGGCTGCACTGGGGAGGAGAGAGTGACTGAGGCTTGCAGAGACCTGTCCCCTGGACAAAGATGGGTCAGGTTTTCCCATCTTTTTTGCCCTAGGGAAGAGCAAGCAGCCACAGCTGGAGCCAGAACTTAAGGATACAGGAAATAGTGAGCTCTGGGCCCAGAGTGCGGAATCAAGAGAGCCACCTGGACAAGCCTAGAGGGAGGCAATGAGGAGGAAAGGTGGAGGGAGAGAAGGCTTGGAAGGTCTGGGAGGCAAGCCAGGTGGAGAGTGTGCTGGAGCAAGAGATTGGCAGCAGGATCAGTGCCTGGAAGGGAGGTTACAGGGTGAATGTAACTGATCAGGCTTGCTATGAGATTGTGGGGGTGTAGTGGTTCTTTCAGGCTGGGCCCTACAGGAAAGCAGAGGAAAATTTCTAACTGCAAACCACAACACCTAGCTCTGGAGCAAAGTTTTATTAAAGGGATGCTGGATGTGTAGAGGGCTTAGTATTGAGCTCAGAAAAATGACTAAGGGTTGGGGGGAGCGGGGAGAAGCTCACAAAACTTCTAGGAAGGTCAAGGCAGCAGATTTGAGATCACACAAATACAATATAGCAAATTCCACTGGGGCACAGAGTTGGTCTGGGAACTGACAATTGCCACCAGAACTACTGTGCTGATTACCTCTGGAAATGAGGGAGCAGCCCTCACTGTTGCCATCACGCACCATGAGGGGTTCTGGAGGGTGCTAGCTTCTGATTCTCAGCCTGGGTGTGGTCTTAGATGGGTGGGACCTGGCTTATGGACCCACATCTTTGTTGCAAAGCAGGCAGGGCAAAGGGCATGTGGCATTTTCTGCTTTTCTTGCAAGAGGCAGTGATAGATTAACCTTGAAGCTGAAGATTCAGGACTCCTCATTGGAGGATTCCATCAAGCTATAAGGCTTCAGGCTCTAGACTGGCCCCTGCTCACAATATCATGGAGAAGGTATTTAAAACCCCGGATTTATTAGCCCTGGCTGGTATTGCTCAGTTGGTTGGGTGACGTCCTGTGCACTGAAAAGTTGCTGGTTCAATACCAGGTCAGGGCACATGCCCAGGTTGTTGGCTTAGTCCCTGGTATGAGGCATGCAGGAGGCAACTGATCAATGTTTCTCTCTTACATTGATTTTTCTCTTTCTGTTTATCTCTGTCTCCCTCCCTCTTTCCCTCCCCTCCACTCTCTCTAAAACTCAATGGAAACACTATCCTCCAGTGAGGATTAACAACAAAAATTTGAGCTTCTTAACCACTTTCTCTATAGCTTGAAATCAATTCCCTTCTTCCAGAGAGCACTCTTCGTTTGGTTCTAATCTGGCTAGGCGGCTGCTAGGACCACTGCACAGAAGTCAGTTTAACCCTCCTGGTTAAATCTATTTCTTGTACTGCACATCTTTCTCTTTCTTGGTTATTACTCTTTAACTTTACTGGAGTATATACTCAGCTCCCTTAGAAAGGGCACATGAAATATATATTTTCTAAGTCCTGAAAGTCTAAATGTTTGGGGTTTTTTTAATCTCTCAATTCACAATTTGACTGGGGATAGAATTCTAAATTCAAGATAACGTTTCTGTCCCTGCAAGTGTGGCTTAGTTGGTTGGGCGTTGTCCTGTATACAGAAAGGTTGCCACTTGGATTCACTCTCAGGGCATGTGACCAGGTTTCAGGGTCAATCCCCAGTAGGGGTCATGTAGGAGGCAGCTGATCCGTGTCTCGTTCTCACATGGATGTCTCTCTCCCTTCCTCTCTCTAAAAATCAATTAAATCTTTTAAAAAAAGATAATGTTTCCTAATGTGATACATGATTGATTGTTATATTACCTTAAAATAATTGGTTTCTTCCATTTCTTATACATTCTGTTAGTCTGGGAAATATACCAAAAGACAGCATTGTTAAATATTTCATGACTTTTTTTATACTTACTATTTTTGTTTTAGAAAAGTTTCTCGATTTGATGCTAAATCCCAGTTATAGTATTGGAGAAATGGTATTAAAAAGCTTCCAAAACAAAGGCTTTAAAGAGGGAACTCTAATAAATAATCTTGCTAAAGATCTTGAATTAAAAGGAAAATATTATGTATTTTCTATGCACTGCTTTTAAGTTTAAAGGAAATTAAACTTTCAAAAAAATCATTTCCCATCCAATATTGAAGTATTGGCTGCATTGTCTTCCAGCTTCCTTCATTTTGTTGCTGAGCCATCTTATTCTTATTGCCAGATCCATTTTCAATCAACATCTTGGCCCTGGAGTGGCTCAGTGGTTGAGCATCGACTTATGATCCGGGAGAACGCAGTTTAATTCCCCGTCAGGGCACATGCCCTGGTTGTGGGCTCAATCTCCAGTAGGGGACATGAAGGAGGCAGCCTATCAATGATTCTCTCATCATTGACGTTTCTCTCTCTTTCTCTCTCTGAAATTAATACTTTTTTAAAAATAAAAAAAATAAAGCTACATCTTCGTCAGTTGGGGTGTATGCAGTTCCCCTACTTCCTTATAGGTGGCGCTGCAGGGAAGGGCAGAGCAGAGTGCGCCCTACTGGAGGAGGAGAGATTTTCCCAGTAGGGGGCGTATTCTTTGGGTGCTGTGTCTGTGTGAGCCTTACGCAACGTGAGGGGCGGGAACAGCTCTCTCCCCGCCCCTGCCCTCTGCGGCGCTCTCTGATTGGAGGAAGGGCCCGTCACTTGACGGAGCCGTTGGGGTAGGAGGAAGAGGGCCGGGGCGGAAGGTGAGGCTGAGGCGGCGGAGGTACCGGGAGCGGAGCGGGCTGTACCTGAGAGCGAGCCACAGCAACACCTCGGGCGCTCTCCCCCATCTCTGCGGTGAATGGCGGCGGGATGGAGCACGAGGGGAGCGGCGGCAGCGAGGGGTCTGCTGGGCTCCTGCAGCAGATCCTCAGCCTGAAGCTCGTTCCGCGAGTGGGCAACGGGACCCTGTGCCCCAACACCACTTCTCTCTGCTCCTTCCCAGGTACCGGCCCCGCGCCTGCGTCCTGTGCCCCCGCCGCCGCCGCGCGACGGTGGGGCAGGCGCCTTTGCCCCCCGTGCAGACTGGGTCTCACCGCCTCGCCATCTGGGGGCTGTTTTCCTTCCCCAGGGAGGGTCCCGCTCCTTCGGCCGAGAGCTGGGAGCTCTCGCCCCTCCCCCCGTCGCTTCCTCGCCCGCCCCTTGGACCCGGTCCCCCCAGTCCCGCGCCGGTGGCGAGGTCGGAGGGAGCGGCCGTGGGTGTTCACATCAGTGAAGGGAGCTCAGCCACCACCCAAACTAGTCTTGCTCTTTGGAGTTTCCAAACGCCCTAGTTCAGCCTTGAACTCGACAGAGCCCTGGAGGGGCCATGCCCGCAGGATGCGCCTGGGCCCTTGCTTCCCCGCCGGCCTCTCGGCTTTCACCACTCGACGCCCAGCCGTCCCGGCCAGGCTGAGGGGCCGTCGCAACTCACACTTAACTTTGTTTCTAGTCTAGTCCGTGCCCTCTTCGCCAGGAGGTTGCCTGCTGGCTGCTCGCATCTCCGTCCAAAGGCACCCGCTCCACCAGCTCCTCTTTCTAGGAATCGTTTTCTGAGACTTGTTGCCGAGTCTCCCGCTCACGCGTTCGAGATCTTCGGCGCAGCTTCTTTTTAACTCTTCCTACCCCCGCCGGAGCTTCTCCTCGGCTGATAGAAGGGGGTTTTCAGATTTATGATACAAGATAGAAAGCTATCTGTGCTCCAAAAGCCGAGAGGAGAAATTACGTGGGAAGGCTAATGAAAGGCTCCGCAGTTAAAGTGTGTTGGATCTCGGAAGGCAGGGGGACTGAGAGGCTGAGGTTGGGCTCTCCAGCTAGGCTGATACCTTGACTTAGTAAACAAAGCGAGCTCGGGGCCTGAGACCTGCGAAGGAGGAAGGATTGAATTACTGACTGCTGCTAGAAACCAGGCATCTGTGATTTTTTTCATCCACTGGGCAGCGGCTGCCAGGCGCCATTCAGTGGACACCCGGGACTTGCTCTGTATTACCTGTCTAGCATTTTCCCGGACAGGTCTGGGAAATAGGTGGTTATGGGGCAGATGCAGATTTAGCTTGAAATCATGCCCCAAGTGATAATCTGGCAGTTCACCTTGATTTGAAAGTCTTAAATACACGTTGACGGTGATAATAGGACATTCTGGAGACACTGTCCAAAAAATGAAATGTCCTTGCAGTCCTTATTTTACCCCCAACTCTTTGAGAATTTTCAAACTTACTGAAAAATTGAAGTGATAGTATAACAAATACCCATATACCTTTTACTTAGATTTGTTATTCATATTTAGATTCTTTTGCTTTCTCTCTATATATGTATACACATAACATGTTTACTTTCTGCAGAGCCATTTGAAACGAAGTTACAGAAATGATGGCTCATGATGCCTAATATGTTAGCGTGGATCTTTTAAAACAAGGACATTTTATGTCATAGCCAAAAAACTATATCACACCCAATTGTTTCAATTTCTTGAGATTGACATTTTTGAAGACTCCAGGCTAATTGTGTCTCTGTTTGTCCCACAATCTAAATTTATCTAATGGTTTCTTCATGATTACATTCAGATTAAACATTTTTGGTCAGAATACTGTCTACATAGGTGGTGTTATCCACTTTCCAGTGTATCGTATCAGGAGGCATTTATCAGTTTTTAAGTGTAATCATCTAGTGAAGATGGTGTTGTCAGATCTCTCCACTATAAGGGCACTTTAATCCTTTTTAAATTAATAAGTCATACGAGGTGATACTTTGAAACTGCAAATATGCTGTGCAGTCTGTCTGGTTTTCGGTTGCCTTTTTTTTTTTTGGTTAGCGAAACAGTACTAATGTAGGTCTTTCGTAAAAACAAAGTGGCAGAAAGTGAACTTTTAAAAAGCAGGGGCTGGATGGGCCTAGTCAGTCTCAGATTCACAAATATTTAGAAGCCCAAGTGAAAACTACCAGTTTTCTTTTAAAACTTGCATTTATGACTTGCAGTGATGTAAAATTTCTTCCCAATTAAATGGCATTTTATAATACATGTATGAAAATTGTTATTATTTAAATAAAATAAGTAAATGAAAGGCAGGGGATACCTGTACACATTTGGCAAAGTGCAGGCTCTGGGCTGGGGGTATAAATATGCGTGAGATACAGCCCAGCACCTCAAGTTGGTCAGAATGTGATGAGTGAACACTTAAACTCCCTGCTATGTCTCATTTTTAGCTGGAATGATGGATACAATAGGTGCATGAAGTTTGAGCCTGCTGACAGTAAAATTCATTCATTGACCTGAATCTGGAATAGTTTCTATTTTGGCCCCCCTGAAAAGGTTACTTGTACTTTATGGTAACTCAATATGGCAAAATCATTGCTCTGAAATATTCTGTGGTTTATCACTATCAGGAAGCTTTGAATTGATTTTTTTGAACCTGCATTTGCAATTTAACCATTTAGATATCCGCTTAACCTTCCTTATTCCAAGTTGTTCAGATGTCTTTTGTTGTTGTTGTCATTTAAAAAATGCCTGACTGCCACCCTATCCGATTTGGCTCAGTGGTTAGAGCGTCTCCGGAGGATTAAAGGGTCCCGGGTTCGAATTTGGCCAAGGTCATGTACCTTGGTTGCAGGCTAGATCCTGGCCCCAGTCAGGGGCATGCAGGAGGCAACCAGTTGTTGTGTCTCTTTCACATTGATGTTTCTCTCTTTCTCTTCCTTCCACTCTCTCTGAAAGGCAGTGGTAAAAATATCCTCCAGTGAGGATTAAAAAAAAAAAAATTTGAATGCCAAGAAAGATGGATCTTTGTATCAGGAATGACAATACTTTTCTGCAGGTATGAATTTCATTAAAATCAATGTCACAGTGTGTCTCGTGGTAGTTAAACTAAAATCCACTAATGTTTGGTAGTGTGGTTGCTGGAATCAAGAATGGGTCACACTTGGACCAGTTATTTGTTCGTTCACTAAACAAATGTTTACTCAGTGTGCCTGTTGCATGCCTAGGCACCAAGTAAAGATCTGGTAGTGAACAAAACAAAGGAGTTTCACTCTAATTGGGAGAGAGAAAATAAACAAAATTTAAAAGTGTGGAAAGGAACAGCTGGTGGTGAATGTGAGGTAGGGGAGAGGGATAGTGAGTGGCGGGTCTTGTGTGTCCAGATGGAGTATTATTTTACATAAGGTAGGAAGCCCTTTATGATGATGCCATGGAACCAAAAACTGAAGGAAGTGAGGAGTGAGCCCCATAGCTGCTAAGAGAAGAGTATTCTGGGCAAGGGGGCAGCAGGTTCAGAGGCCCTGGAACAGGAGCTTGCTTAAGAAACATAAAGGAGGCTAACACAAAGGATGAAACAGTGTGGGCAAAGCGGGAAGGGGAGATGAGGTCAGAGCCCGGGGCACTGAATTGGAGGGTTTTGAGCAGAGGAGGGATATTCTGACATACTGTTTTTTAAGTGTGCAATTCAATGATCTTTAGTATATTTGCAGTTTGCAACCATCACCACAAGGAACTTGAGAATATTTTAATTACCCCAACCAGAAACCTCGTACTCTTTATCACTGACTCTCTGCCTTTGTGTGGAGAATGGATGGAAGGTCAGATCAGGACAAACAAGAACTAGCCATGCTAGAACCAAGACCACTGGGGTGAGTCAGGCCAGGGGGCACTCTCAGAAATCGGGTGAGAGGGCAGTCCGTCAGTAGTGTCAGGAGAGAGGTGGCTGCCTGCAGTTGGTAGGTAGTCCTGGTGGGCAAGTCGTCATTGGTAGGGAGGAGTGGAAGAGTATCTAGAAAAAACTCACTATTTTCCTTCACTGTCACACTAATATCACACTCATACTTCTGACACCAGATGTGTGGATTTTCCACACATGAGGCAATTCTGTGACATCAGTTGGGTGTCCTACAATTCAGTTCAGTTCTGACACTGTCTACCTGGAGTTAGCATCAGATCCCACAGATTAAGGCTCAATTCCACAAGACTGCTCCCACCCTGCACTTCAAACACCAATCAAAAGCCCAGGTTTTCCCTTGCGCTTCTGACCGACTGGCTATAAATCAGAGGTTCCCATCACCCGTTCCTTGTTTGATTAATTTTCTAGAGCAACTTACAGAACTCAGGAAAATAGTTTACTACTAGCTCACTAGTTTATTACAAAGGATATTAAAGGGTACAAGTGAACACAGATGAGGAGATATATAGGGTGAGATCTGGAAGAATCCAGAGAACAGGAACTTTTGTCCCTGTGGTTTGGGGTGGGCCATCCTCCCAGCATGTGGATGTGTTTACCAACTCAGAAGCTCTCTGAACCCTGTACTTTGGGATTTTTACGGAGGCTTCGTCTCATGGGCATGATCGATTATTTATTCCACTTCCAACCCTTCTCCCCTCTCCAAAGAATGCATGCAGGGGGCAGGGGACTGCAAGTCAAGTTCTAATCTTATAATCGTGGCTTTCTGGTAACCAGCCCCCATCTGGGAGCCTACCAAGAGTCACTTTAAGGGAATAAAAGATGATTCTGGAAATTCCAAGGGATTTAGCAGCTCTGTGTCAGGCACCAGGAGCAGAGACCAATATAAATGTATTTCTTATTTCACAAGGGAACAGATGGATCCCCTGGCAGGTAGGTGGGATTCATTAAGAGACGGGTCTCACAGTGGGCGGTGTGGAGAGATGCAGGATTTTGAGCAATTAGAATCAAGGCAGTCCAGCATCAAGTTGCAGGACAGGGTAGGACTACAGTTCCCAGAAAGACTTATGTGGTCTGCTTAGAACCCTGGCTTCAGAGGACCTGGGTGTGTTCCTACAGTTGTTTGACCTGGAACATAAGGTAGAGTGGAGCCAGCTGAAAGGATGGCTGACTGCGGAGCCTCACTGCCCAGTTGGCTTAGGCTTCTTTCATTTCTGCTGATTGGGGCTGGTTGGCCTTGAGCCTTGCTTGGAATTTAGGTGACTCAGCTGTAGACATTAGAGGGCCAGGGAGCCAGCCATTACGAACCCCTTTAGTTAATGCAGAATTCAACTAGAGGATTCTAAAATCTATGTGGTTTTTGTCTTTAACTAAAACTTCTGTTTGAAAAATTGATTTTTAAAGATAAAAAGTTCCCTGTCAGCGGGAATCTTTGTCTTTTTATGGTGTTTGTTTGTTTATATTTTTTACTGAAGTGCCTGGCATTTGGAATGGGCTAAATAAATATTTGTTGAATGAATGAACTCTTAGTGTTGTTGCCATTGAAACAACTTATCACAGACTTAATCATTTTACAGTTCTGGAGATTAGATGTCCAAAATAGGTCAGCAGTGCTGTGTTCCTTCTGAAGGCTCTAGGAAGAATTGGTTTCTTTGCTTTCCGTTTCTAGAGGTCACCTGCATTCCTTGGCTCTTGGCCTCTTCCTCCATCTTTCAAGCCTTAGCATCTTCAAATCTGACTCTGACCCTCCTGCCTCCCTCTTACACGGACCCTTGTGATTATATTAGGCCCACCTGGAAAATCCAAGATAATCTCTCAAGATGTGTAAGGTAATCACTCCTGTAAACTCCCTTTTGCCACACATTCACAGGCTCTGGGGATAAGTATGTGGACATCTTTGGGGCCCATTCTATCACCAGTGCTTAATCTGATTTCCCCTTATACGCTTTTATTACAGATTATCTGATCTATACTTCAACATCGGGAAGAGATGTGACTTTAGCTGCCACAATAAACAAAGCTGATGATAATGCACTTGATTTGAAACAGTGAACAAGGAAATACTATGAGATATGTAGACAAAGATTTTTGACAGTGTGTTGAGCCAGGAAATAAAAAGTACTGTATTATAATCAATAAATAGCTATTAAAGAGATAGGAAATTAAGGTGCAGTAGATTAAAGGGAGATCACTTAGGTGTTTTTTTTTAAAGTGTTTTATTGATTGGGGTTTGCCTTTGCTATTAGAGTCCTGTAATCCGTCCATCTGAAAAGTGTTTTCTAAACTGTGCTACTCATCTAATGTAATAAAGCCTTTTTTCCTGCATGAAGTGATTTAAGTGACGCTATATAAAATATGTAGGCACTGAGTAGCTAATGGATGTAACTCAGGGTTGCAGGAGGGTGCAGTGTGTTTCCCCCTCAGAAAACAGGTGGTGGCTGTAGTTTGCTGGTCCATCTAAAACCATCAGCATTTGGATACTTGACTGATGAACCTACATTGCAACTGGGTGGTTTTGAAAGTGAAGTAACTGGGTATAATGACCACCCCTTTGTAATGACTGCACTGGGTAAGGCGGTGATTTGTGACCTTTCTTTGCTTTCCCTTGTAGAGATGTGGTATGGTGTGTTCCTGTGGGCACTGGTATCCTCTCTCTTCTTTCATGCCCCCGCTGGATTACTGGCCCTCTTCACCCTCAGACATCACAAATATGGTAGGTTCATGTCTGTAAGCATCCTGTTGATGGGCATCGTGGGACCAATTACTGCTGGAATCTTGACAAGTATGTTAGACATTAAAATACCAGTCAAAATATTTCATATGACTTGTCAGTCAATTTCAGGACTCACTTTAGAAACATGAAATAAAAGAGTGATCTTTATCCACAGGTCCCTTTTTTAAGTATTTTCCCCTCACCCTCAGACCCCTGTTATTTGGCTAACATCTTTGATTCCCTCAGTCCGATTTTCTCTTGCTGGCTTCAGGGAAGCCATGTTAAGCTTTGTGAGGTACATCTTCTGATATAGGTCACTAGCAAAAGAGAGATATTTGTCATTTTGGAAGAGACTGCTCCTTCCTCATCAGCTGTCACTTTACTGATAGCATCACAGGATGGCTGGTGAAAGGAATTGCTTCCACTCATTCAGGTGTGATTACTTTAAAGATGGAAGACTATTTCCAATGACAAGAATCCTTGTTTTAAAAAGTACTCGGTTAATTATTTCCTCTTAGGAGTTTCTGGATAAGAACTGGAGTAACATTCATATTATAAATTACTTTTACCGGTCTTTTTTTCTTGGTTTTTGCTCATGTCACAGGGATGAGAATAAGTTTAAATCTTTTTAAGCTTATAGCTAAAAAGAAATAGTGTATTTTATATAAATTAAAAATTGTTAGAAAGCAAAAATAAAAATCCTCTATTGCCACCTCCCTAAATGATAACCACAGTTTGCATTTTGGTATATGCTTTCAGACTTTTTTCTAGGTATACATGTAAAAAGTATATTCTTAAAAAATAGAAACATAATATTCCTACTAATTTGTAACTTTATTTTTACCTTGAGCTTCAAGCAGAAATCTCCCTTTGTCTTTGACTTGAGGGGTTTTGGGAGGACAAAGTGGCCTCTTTCTCTGTGTTCTGTAAATGGTGAAACCTTTGCAATAACACAGGAAGGAGGCCAGTTTTCTCCTGTGTGTATAAAGGAGTTTCCATACCTGGCCTTATCCAATATTTTTAACTATATCAGCTATCTTCAGAGACCCTCTGCTCCAGTTTCCTGACTGGATTACTGGATCTGAAGACCTGTTTCAGATTTCTCATCAGTAAAGTAGAGATAATACTGCCCACCTCATATGCTGTGTGATAATTAAATGAAATAATGTATATGTAAAGTATTTAACATAATACTAGCACATAGTCATTGTGCAACAAATATCATGTTTATTTCTGTCTTTAAGATTTTTTGCATAGAGTCTGTTCCCTACTCATATCGCTGCTCTTTGTGTAAGCTTTTTCCTTTCTCCCATTCTTCATCATCCAAATCCCACTTAGGGACCAGTTCAAGTTGCTTTGGCTTTCTACCCAGCCCACTTTTTTGGAGCTAAATTATAGAGGGGCTCAATGAAACACGTGCCTCCCAGATGTTAGTAGCATAGCATGTATGCATTGTCATTGGAGTGGGCATTTCAAAGTCACAAATGTTCCAGGAAACGAACATAGGTATTAGTTAATATTGTTCTTCTTAAACTCTGTTAATGTACCTTCACATCACATTTTAAACTGTAGACATTTGCTTGAGACATTGTTCGTGTTGAGTCAGTAAAATCTGTTCATGCTTGTGCTCTCTGCCTTGTGTCCCCCCGCTGGGTTCTGTGTACTATGAAAATAGGGATCACACCGTACAAAACCCAGAAGTACATAAATATTTGAATGAATGAACGTACTGAGAATTTTGTTTGGTGAACTCGGGAAGGGGGGTCTTCTGGGAACTTTGGATCTTTACTATGTCCAGGAGGCTCTCAGTTTTAAGGAGTCCCTTTTCAACACCTAAAAGTGCATCAGTAATTTGCAAACCTTGTAAGGAATGCTTAAAACCTACACTAGTCAGCAAAATAGGGAAAACAAAACATTTCTATAATATATATTTTTAAAAATTTATCTTTATTGTTGAAAGTATTACAGATGTCCCCCTTCCCCCCC